AGACAACCCCGTAACAATATGCGTTTTGTACTGCTGTTACACAGCACAAAACGCATAAAAATGTGTGATATTACTAGAAGTGAGACTAAATGCTAATACCAAGAGTACTGGGATCGCTCAAGCAACCAGTGCCGGATTTCCCAAACTTCTAATACAAAATATTCCAACTTGCTAAAAAGCAATGAATATTTTTCGATGGAAAGGGATCAGCTATTCCTTGCCCATACTTTGAACTTCCTTGCTCAATTCGTGAATTTTCGAATCGGTGTCAAATGCTCGATTTTCAACGTGCAGTGAACTGTAGCTGATCAAATTGAAGTACCAATAGGGTCATATGAAGTTTATAAATTAGCCTTATTGTACTGACAATTCAAATCTTATTGTTCTAGCAAATTAGCTATTTATTTGAACTATACAAAAGGCACTGAAAAATAATACTCAGGTACAAGTGCATGAAAAAAAAATATCTCTGTTGAACGGGAACAAGTACGGCGGGCAGAATTCGTCTCATTCTTGTTCAAGTTCGATCAACACACCGCCACAATCTTTTGGATGAAGGAACATCACCGGTTTCCCGTGCGCCCCAATTCTGGCCTCTTTCGATAATGTCCGGATTCCCTGTTTCTTTACTTCTTCAACAGCCTGGAATATCCGAGGCGCTGCATGAATCCTCTTGGATTTCAAAGCTGTAAATCCCTCGCTGCTGTTAAAATTTCAGTTCGCCCCGTTCCCCCGGGTCACCGTTTGGATGTCATTCAGAGTCTAGCAGTTGTAATAGGTTATTGTAAGAATGCGGTAAAGGTGTCAGATCATTTTCTTAATAATCTTATAAGTAATGTTTCATAATCCGGGACGTTATTTTAATATTTTGATCAGTTATAATTTAAAACTGGCTCTCCACAAGGTGCAGCTGACAACTGCCCACTTGCTTTGACCAGTGCTGTGTTGCCTGGTGGTCAGTCTGCTGGCAATTCTGAGCATTTTGTCTCCTGAAGGGATAATTAGTCCAGTGGTTTTACGCGCAAAAGCACTTGGCAAGGTTTTAGCTGTTTCGAGCTGTTGTTGCTCGCGA